TGAAACTATCACAGTAAGCAAGTTCAGGGCAATGTCAAAATGTTAAAAAGTTTACAATAAATAGTAAATGCATTTACGTAAGTGACGTTGGACCTACCACCACACCGTGAATAAGTTTAGAGTGAAGTTGTGCTCACAGAAATTAAGTCACGCTATAACGAGAACCTCTTTGTAATAAAGTCCTAAAAAACCAGAGCCACAGCAAATGAATATGCAGGTTATATAGGTAATGTTGAAGATAGTCACCCCACGGAGTGAGTTAGTTTAGCTGTTTAGGGTGATGTTGTGTTCGTAGTAGTCGAGAATGGCCTCTTCAAGGTCACAGGCATCGATGTCCTTTGTGACCTCTCTCCAGTCGGCCCACAGCGTTGCCGATAATGGGGCTGATTCTTGCCTGGTTAATCAAACGGTAAATTGATGAATGAATGAATGCATGAATGAAGGAATGAATGAATGAATGAATGACAACTTTCTCAATGCCTCTTCACATTATCAGAGTAATGTGAAGAGGCATTGAGAAATCCTTTCAAAATGATAATTTAAAGTAGCATTATTAAAACTACCGTAATACATAACATTTATTTAGGAAATGATTAAATTAAATTAATCAAAAGATTGAACAGAGGAAGACGTGACTGATTGGCGAACGAACGAACTTACGGTTCTTTCAGCGACTCTCCCCTGAGAAGAATCTCTTTATTGAGCCTCAAGGGATGTAGTATGTTAGGAATAGGATTACTGTAGTTGCTGGTACTGTTGTTGTTGTTGTGTGATTTTGATGTGATCGTGTTGTTGTTAGTTGTGACGTTACTGAAGTTCATGCTGCTGCTAGTGGCTGTAGTGACAGTAGACTTGGCTAGTGATTTGTCATTGGGGTTGGTGTTGTTGTTGATAGCGTTGGTGTCGTATGTGGGATAAGTATTGTTGCTGTTGTTGTTGATGTTGTAGTTGATGTTATTTGAGATAGTGTTGGCTGTTGTGTTGTTGTTTTTAGTGTTATCAGTGGTAACATTCATGTTGTTAATGCTAATGCCTTCAACGTTGGCATTAACATTTGATATATCGGCAAGCTTGCTATTAATGTCACGGTCAACAATGACATTAAGTGCCTTACCATTCGAATGTAATGTAATTGCTATGTTACTATTGACTGATGATTGAAATGGCATTTGAAACAGTGTTGATGACTGTTGCGGCTGGGTATTGTCCTGTATTTTAGTGTTTTCACGTATTTGTCTTGTTTGTCTTGTATTAGTTTGTACCTCATTTGCACTGAAAGGAATTCTAAACATACTTTGCGGTGTTAATGCAGTCGGTACTGCCACTAAGACGGGTACCCTGTTACTCAAGTTTAAGAAACAACTTTGGGTATTTAAATTCTGATTGCTAGACGTCAAGCTGAGTAGCGGAATACTGCTACTCTGTGTGCTCTGCAGTGAAGTGTTCGTAAGTTTAGGAGTGTTAGCAGTTCTACTAGATTGAACCACATTGATGTTAGTAAATTTACTTGTCAAATTAGTATTTGTCAATAAGGGGAGATAATTAGCGGAATGTGTATGTGATGGTGTGGAGTGGATTTGTACGGCGGTGGTTTCTGATTGGTTGTTGGTGATAAATTTCGAACTGCCGATGTCTGGGTTGTTGGTCAAGCTGACAATTGAATGTACACGATGATTGGTTGACGGTGGTTGTGATAATGTTTTCTGACTGGCTGGTTGATGACCAATCACACTGCTGACCATCCGGTAAGCGTTTGTATGATTGGTCAGTTGGCTTGTTGTTGATTGGTCAGTCGAATGACTGATTGATACTATTGGTGGATTGGGTTTTGGCATTATGGTTGCATATTCTGAAGGGGCAGTAATGTTATTGTTATTATTTTTACTTTTATTCTTACTGGTCTTCTTACTTCTTTTCAATTTACTTCTAGATAAATTATTCACTCTAAAATTGATAGTCATGTTGTTGATGTTTATGCTGATGTTGTTGGAGCTATTGATGTGGTTGTTGTTGATGTTGTTGTTGATGTTGTTGTTGATGTTATTGTTGATCAAATTGTTTACAAAGCTCTCCACAATTACATTATGACATTTGTTGCGACTGATGTTGACGTCATCATCTATCTTAGTTAAAACATCTTCGGTGGAAGGTAAGCTGCCTGAAAAATTATTTATGTTGATGTCATTTGTATTTGTTTGGCTGTCGTTGTTGTTGTTGTTGCTGATGATGTTGTTTTTGTTGATGTTGTTGCTATTGTTGTTTTTGTCGATGTTGTTGACGTTGTTAACGTTGTCAAACGAGCCAACTTCAAGTAGATTTTTTTCAATAATTTTGTTGAGTATGTTGTTGTTAAAGTTGTTGTGGCTGTTGTTATTGTTGTGGCTTATAATGCTACTACTGTTATTAGTGTCGTTGTTAGTCGTGACTTCAACTGAAGTAGCATTGTTGTTGTTGTTGTTCTGGAGTTTTAACGTATCCCGCATGTTGTTCCATCTTTCCAACAGTTTCATATCTTCTGAAGTTAACTCATCTGCATTCAATCAACAACATATTTTTAATTATAGGATCAATCAACCAATCAAACAATCAATCAACCAACCAATCAATCAAACAATCAATCAACCCATCAATCAATTATCAAAAAAAATTCTTCATAACGAGTTAACTTGAAGATTTTTTGAACCATCAGTCATAATAAATAAATAATCCAACCTCTCATATTATTATTATTATTATTAATTCTACCATCATTGCTAAACAGGCTACTACTATTACTATCATCAATATTATTATTATTTTTATTTATTTTTTTAATTTTCATTTGTTTCAAGAGTGACTTCAGTTGTCTCTGTCTTCTTTTCTCCTCCCTCTCCTTCTGCCTCTGCAGAGCTGTTACTGGTTTCTTCCCAGCAGCTGTCTGCTGCTGCTGCTCTGTTGCTTGCTGGCTGGCTTCTGATTGGTTAAACGGTTTGAATATTTAAAATATAATTATGAATTTTGTTATTATTAAAATAATCATTGTCACAATAAGTTTCTCTGATAGCACCGACTTGATCTTTCCCTCTTCATTTCAGAGTTTAGTAGCAGCGCTGCTTTCAATTTTATTTTGGCTTCTGAAAGTTTTGGAACACTCTCAACATTTTGTGGTTGTAGCTGTTGATGTTGTGGTTGTTGTTGTTGATGTTGTGGTTGTAGCTGCTGATGTTGTGGTTGTTGCTGCTGATGTTGTGGTTGTAGCTGCTGATGTTGTGGCTGTAGCTGCTGATGTTGTCGTCGTTGCTGATTTGTATACCTTCCATCACCTTGTTCCTTGTTTAATGATAAAAACGTTAGTAACGATGTTGATGTTGAAGATGATGCCGTGACCACAACTGAGGACGTAGACTTAGACACAAACGATACGGACGACGAGGTAGATGGAGTCGCAAGTGGCGTCCTCGATGGCGACAACAAAGTGGGAGAGGGAAGCTCCTTCCAGTCCATGAACATCTCACAGGAATCGACTCCTCTGAAGAGAGCACTTGACAGTAAGCAGCCGGACAGCATCCTACTGGCCGACAACATCTCCTGATCCTTTATGGTTGCTGATTCCAACTTCGCACTCAACATATCCACCTCGTTATCCGCACTAGCGACATCTCTTTTCGCCGCTACTACTAAACTTTTTGAAAATGATCCAGTTGGCGGTGATGAAGAGGAAGATGAGGGTGATGAGGAAGAAGATGAAGTTGGTGATTTAGCTACTGATACCGGGGTGTATGACAATGGCGATGAAGTTGGTGGCGATGATTGTGGGTGATTTACGGACAGGAGAAAGTCGACAAATGAGGTGTAAGGTGATATTTTTGGGAGGTGCAGCATGGAGGAGGAAAACGAATCACTTTCAAAAAGTGATGACGACTTTATTGGAAGGATTGCCAGTGATGCCGGGAGCGATTGCACGCTCAACGAAGCTGTTGAGGTCGTTGATTTGGCTGCTGTAGTCGCTACTGCAACAAAACCAGTAGTTGCCGTTGGTGTTGTTGTAAATGTTGACGTCATACTTTGTGCAGTTGTTGAAAATGTCGCTAACGAATTATAACTCAAGTCTGAACTTTTTCTATAATTGCCAGGCGGGATACTAGCATGGCTACTGTTATAGTTAATGTTTTGATCGCCATTGCAGATGTTGATGTTATTAATGCTATTTGTCATATCGTTATGACCGATGATGTCATCCTTACTATCCAACATCTTATCTTTGTTGTGATTTGTAACAGCGCTACGTACCATATCATTGTTTACACAATCACAGTTATCAGCATCATCATTTTCATAGCCATTCATCTGCGAATGGTTGATTTTGAACTCTGTTGCTTCGTCGACCTTAACCCCGACCGAATTATGAACGTCCTTAACCTCCATGACCCTGCTGGCCTTCAGGTTCATGATGCTCCTCTTCATCCTTCTCACCTCGTCGTATCTAGCCACCTCGTCTAGAATTCTTTGCTCCAATATGTTCTTCAGGTTCTCCTGAATGGATGAATGAACGAACGAAGGAATGAATGAACGAACGAACGAAAGAACGAATGAACGAACGAAGGAAGAAATGAATGCTCTTATTTTATTAAAATTTTAAAGTAAAAAAAGACAGATCAAAAAATTAGTCATTTTTCCATAGAACTTTGAAATTCTCACTCTATAATGATTCATTTTCAGTATCGAAAGTATAACTTTTTTCATCATTTAATTATTAATGATTTTTGAGGATGATATAGCGCTAAAAAATTTACTCATTTTGCCTTTGGTCATTATAATTTTTATAGTTTATACCATCCCAATCATCATATCATGATAAACAATTTTATATCCACCCTCACCACCAGCTACATCAGCGATTAACCCACCGACATTCCAGGCCCAGTTAAATTCTTAAACTCCTCTTCAAATGAGAAATCAAACTTTCTTGAGCAAATCATCGCCTGATCATTGCCTCCCTCCTCACCTCTGCTAGCATCATAATTTTCATGGTGATATGAACTAAAGTATGGATCATTTACAAGCTCCTCACAAGTCATTCGTTTCGCTGAATCGAGTTGAAGCAATTTCTCGATTAGCGCAAGAGATTGAGGTGTTGCTACTGAGTTAGTTGTTGTTGTTGTTGCAGCTGTTGTTGTTGGTGCTGCAGGGTTACTGCATGGCACTGTTGTTGATGCTGTGTTTGCAGTAGGTGACGATGTCGTTCTGTTGATGTAATTGCTGATGTTGTTGTTGTTGTTGTTGTTGTCAGTGTTGTCGGTCGTTTTGTTCGTGGCAGTTAGACAGGGTACAAACACACTCGTCATGATTTGCTCTGTAAATAGTGAGGTCAACTAACATTTTTAAAATTTCAATGAGAATGAAAAAAAAAATGAGTGAACTTTTTTTCAAGAAAAGTTTGACTTTTTCAGCTGGTGCCAATAAATGGAAGTTTTTAGTTTTCAAATGTATGCATGTGAAGATTAGTTCCAACTGGTTCATCATGTCTTTGCCTGTGTGTATTTGTGTGTGTGTATTTGTGTATGTGTGTAGTTGTGTGTGTGTGTGTGTATATATGTGTGTGTAGTTGTGTGTGTGTATGTGTGTGTATGTGTGTCTGTATGTGATTGATAAATAGAATAGATAAATGTGTGGATGAATGAATGGATTTTTGTATGAAAGGATGGATGTATGAATAGAGAAATGGATATTTAGTTGAGGATAACTGATGGGTGGTACGGTGAAAAGACATGATAAACAAAAATCATAATATCAACAAACTCATTAAAAACATCCAAAGTTATTTCTGAGTTTAACCAACCAACCAATCAATCAATCAATCAATCAATCAACCAATCTATCGATCGATCTATCGATCAATCAATCAAAAATCAATTAATCGATCAATCAATCAACCAACCAATCGATCTATCGATCAATCAATTAATCAACCAATCTATCGATCAATCAATCAATCAACTAATCAACCAACCAACCAGCAAACAATGTTTTCCTGTAAATGAGTTCAGCTAGTATGCAGCCAACAGACCATAGATCAACTGAATAAGAGTAGGATGGAAACTGAAGTAATAGTTCTGGTGCCCTGTACCACCTGTGTGTGTGTGTGTGTGTGTGTGCGTGTGTGTTTGTGTGTGTGTATGTTAGTAGTAGTGTTTGTGTGTTTGTATGTTTGTGTGTGGTGTATGTTAGTAGTAGTAGTGTTAGTGTGTTTGTACGTGTGTATGTTTGTATGTGTGTATTTGTTTGCTTCTTCGTGTGTGTGTGTGTGTGTGTGTGTGTGTGTGTGTGTGTGTTTGCGTGTATGTGTGAATGCATTAGTATGTTAGTAGCCACATGTGTGAGTGATACGATACAACAAAAAAAGTAAATATATGGCAAAATAAAATGAAACATAATAACCTAGTGGCCACATAGTGTGTTAGCTTATTGTTTCTGCCACTGATACAACCGTTGCTGGCGTTTCTGTTGATGTAATTAATGTTGTTGTTGTTGTTGCAGCTTTTACCAACAAAACTGTTAATGCCGTTGTTGTTGTTGTTGAAGCTGCTGATGTTGTAGAAATAGTTAATGTTGTCATCATTGCTATAATCATCAAGCAGTGATGATGATGATAAAGATGATGAAGATGATGAAGGTGATGATGATGACAGGCCCCTTGCCATACCTGTGGCATTTAGATGGATTAAACTTTTTTTAATCAGAAGATCAAATTTAATAAGTAAAATACTAGGCAATAAATATAATTAAAAAGAAATATATGACATTTAAAATTTGAAAACTAATATTTATTTAAAGTTCTAATAAAATAAAATCTATTAATTTTTTAAAATATAAAAAACTAGCAAATATATTGTAAAATAATTAAATAAATAAATAAAGTCTATTAATCAACATGATTAATTAGTTAATTAGTAAAATAATTTAATAATGAGGTCAACAATTGGTTGACATAGTTTTTTATTAAAGTTAATTAATTAAAAAATTCAAAACACTGACCAAAATCACCAATCTTCAGAGTGCAGTTTTCATTGACAAGTAAGTTACTAGGCTTTAGGTCTCTATGAATAACATTTGCTGAATGGATGAACATAAGGCCACAGGCTATCTGGTATAGAAAGTACTTTACATGCTCCTCTGTTAAAATCTGCCTGGAGTAAATTATTTTATGAAGATCTGACTCCATCAGGTCAAAAACTATGTAGACATCTTGGATTCTGCCAGATTTCGATCTCTGGCAGATGATATCTCGAATGGAGATGATGTTTTCGTGTTTGAAGTGACGGAGGATTTTAATCTCCCTATAGGTTCGCACCGCTATCGTGGGTTGGATGAAAATGTCTGAGATTTTTTTAATGGCTACCGTCTGGTTTGTAAGTTTATTAGTGGCCGACCAGACGACACCGTATGCACCGGATCCGATGTTTTCGTTGGGGACGTAGTCTGTGTCTTGAAGTTCAAACTGGGCATTTTTTAATTTTGAACTTAAAGCTTTAATGTTGGAATGTTTGTTGTTGCTGTTGTTCATGTTATTATTAATGCTGTATTGGTTGGTGATGGTTTTGCTGAAAGTTATTGTCACTCATGCTATTAATACTGTTAGTGTTGTTGAATCCTTTGAAATTTGGAAGAGTGTAATGTAATGTAATTGACCTTTTTAACCTTTAGTGATGTTGTTTTTTTTAGTTTAGTCACAGTGATGAGATGATATGAGTGACAATGTTGATGATTCGTCATTATAAAACTGTTGTGTTGTTGCTGTAATGTAATCCTGTATTATTATCCATATGACCATATCTATTTTATACATTTTAATATTTTTAATAATAATACATTAAAAATAATTTTAATATAAAATGAAAAAAATCAGTAAAAATTTCATTTGATTACAATATTATATTAATATTTTACAATTAATAATATTAGTTAAATATTAATATATTATATTATATTAATAAATTAATTATAAATTAATATTTTATTCTATTTCATGAAAAATTAAAAATATAAAATTATAAATAAATCATCAAAAAGACCAAAAAACCAAACGAATCAAAAAAAGTTTGAAAAAATTTGTTTTTAATCTAAATTTTTGATAAAATAAATTTAAGATTTACCTTTGTTACAAAAATTTAATTATAAAAAATTCACTTGTATAGTTTCAAGCATCTTTCTTCTTTCTTCTCAAAAACTTTTATCGTGAACCTGAAGTTAGCAATGAAAAGTTGTTGCCATGAAAATAAAATGGAACAACAAACCACTTTTCAGCAAAACTACCATAAAAATATATATTATATAATTATTATTTCATCAAATAGCATAATAATCAAAAAAATGACATACTTTTATTACATACTGTAATATAATTTAATTACATTACTTAAATGTTTCAAAAATATAACTGACAGAAAACCTTCCGATTAAGCCTGTTTGAAAATTGTTTCCAAATTCGTGAAAACATCATCCAACACCCGCATGAACGAGTTATTTCAATTGGAAAAATTAATAGTAGGAGACTTAGCTTAGAAGAAAGGAGTGTTGACTTGTTCGGATCTTACTGGACTGACTAGATTCGAATGCCATGCCATCTTTTCAACAATCACTTACATTGATAAACCCAAGATGATATGCAGTTGCATGCATATTGACTAAAAATTCAACCGCACACACGATGTTATATGAACAATACAGTACAGTTACACACACAGACACACGCACGCACACACATACACACACAAAATAAATTGATTCAATTTATAAATTTAAACAGGCAAAACAACAAATTATTATTGAAAATAAAAAAAGACTTTTATGTTAAGAATAATTCAGAAATGTCATGTTATGTCGAATATTTTCAATTTAAAGGCAATTAAAAACAGCAAATCTTTGACGGCGCATAAACCTGAATGACTAATTTGTTGTTTAAAAAATGTTTCGTTGTGGTTAAAAATACGGGAATGTTAAAAAATTGGGTTGTAGTTGAGTAGTATTCGAGCTGATGAATACTCACCAAGATCAGCTTTAACTCTGATGTTGGAATCATACATTAAATCTCCAAGGATAGATGTCGTCTCTTCTGCCAACTTATTCCATCTTCTTGCAATCTCTTCCCTACTTTCAGGACCTGCGAACAAGCACATTGTTAACAAAATTAAATTAGTTACATTTCAAGGAAAAAAAATTCAAAACTCATAAATTTGGATAAAGTCTGGAGTTATTAACAAATACATCTAGGTATTGCATTTGTTATAGAAGTTCTGATAGAATTAAAAATGTATTCACCGGGGTATATTTGTTGGACCTGCTCCGCCATATTTTCTATCAATCTTTTTAATTTCCAACGAATGGTTCGTTTCAAGAATTGAAAAAACTCCCTTTCCTCAAATCGATTAAAGTATCCTTCATTAAATTAAATTATTAAAAATGAAAACTTCATTCAAAGGATAATCGAATGAAATTATTTATACTTTGGTAGCCAATCTTCGAAAAAGCCCATTCGTCCCAAAGCTTGTAGCTAACCATGGAATTGTGCATCAGTTGATCCTCTAAGCACTTCCTGCAACAGTATTTCCTCGCCTTGAAAACTGGTTCATCACTATCTTCTCTATCTAGCAGCGGTCGTTTGCAGTCCTCTGAATTCACAAACCTCCTCGTGCTTACTCAAATCCTTCAGTTCGACTTCTGCGCTGCATCCTTTTACGTGGAAAGGGCAACGAACTTTGAGACAGGAGAGCTCTGACCTGGTTTAAGTTCTTGGGTTTGTAACATCTCTAATTTGCACTGCCCTCCTACAAATGGGACAGATTAACGAGATTTTGAGCCATTTCATCAAACATGTCTTACAGAATAAGTGCTCGCATGGAGTCCTTTTTGGCTGTTGCAATACATTTTTGCATATCGAGCTAGAAAACTTTTCTATAACATCTTGCGCGTTAGAGGAAGAGTATTCAATCATGCTGGAGTTGACGGGAACGGACTGCAGAAGATTAAATGACTCAAACTTCAACCGAAATCATGCGAGGCAAGTGAACGAAGAAAAAATTAAACCAAAAACTAAACAAAAAACTAAACCAGAAGTTATTATTATTTAAAATTAGGTATATAAACCAAATTAACAGAAAATGATGATTTTAACTTAGAAACAATATTTTGAATACAATAAGCAGGTGACGCAAACATGTTTTTTCAGTTGTAAGCAAATAAAATAATTTTGAAATTCAATCTTATTCATTAGAACATCAAGTTGATAATAAAGTCACTAGTAGAAAATATTTAAAAAAAGATATAAACTTGTAATGTTAATCATTTATTAGTCTGTGGGTTTTTTTCCAACTTTCAATCTCGAACTTTACCGCTTTAACAAAAATTTTCAAATTAAGAATTGGAACAAGCGAATAAAGCATACTAGGGTAAAACAGAAATTGTACACTATATCGCAGGTACGCTCTAGATACTAACACAAAAGAAGAAAACACCAAAGCTGATTGATGGTATATATCTCATCTCTAGAAAATTTTATTCAAACACAAAACCAACGAAAAAGTTGACAACATAAATGAGAAAACAAAAAGTAGAAAAAAGAGAATCAGATGGGACATAACGAAAGTATTATAATAATTTGTATCCTGTAAAAAAAATTACCAAAAGTTTAACAACAAAAATCAACAAATAATCAGAAAAATAACAAATATTTGCATTTACTCGGCCCAATATTTGTATTTTCTAGAAAAAAGTCTCATTGGGTCACAAGCACTCGTCAACAGACCCTCAAAATTGATTTGAAAATAATGAATAATCTGTATGGAACTTTTTTAGCCAAACAGAAATGGATCATTGAACAATTTCAGCTCCAGTGAATAGCGTCACTGAAATGATCTTCTTGCCAGTTTTTGTAAAGAGAGTCCTATGGTTGTAGCAGGTTGTTAACTGCGCGGTAACTGCAAAGTCTCTTCGACAACACGGGCAGTGCGTCTTTTCTTTGAACCAGTACTTCATGCAATTTACGTGGAACGTGTGTCTGCACTTCAATTCTCGGACGAATGATGTCTCTGTAAACTGTTCCATGCAAATTGGGCATGTATCATTCAGAAATTTATTTCTCACGTAGGGGAGCTTGCTACATTTTTTAGACGAAGGAAATAATCCGGAAGAGTCGTGATGGAATATTTCAACTTTTAAGAGCTCATTATCGATTAAACACATTTGGTTCATGCCATCAGAAGAAACTCTTGAGGAATCAACTTCCTGGATTTCTCGTAATAAGCTATACTGCTGTGTAGTCTGTAGCGAGTCAAGCTTTTTCCTCCAATCACAGTCCTCACAACTAATGACGTCATTTTCCTCTTCTAGATAGCCTAAAATATTTTCAATGTCTTTATCTGAGAAGTCCAAGCTCCTGTCTTTCAAAACCTGCCGACAGGTCGACACCAGCGACAGACCGCTTTCTGTCGCCAGTCCGTCGATTAAATCATACGCCACATAATCAACTATGGTTTCGAATGATTTATCGCTGGTGAGGCTCATGCCAAATTACAGAGCTCTATCTATGCTACCTTAACTAAGGGATCGTCGACACTCAACAGATCTTATCCCCAAACTTATATATGAAAAGATGTTATTAGGTCTTTGTAAAGTCATCAAACACAGCTCTGTGTTTGATGACACAGCTCTGTGTTTGATGACTTTACAGAGGGTAATTATTATACAGTAATTTACAAAGTCATATTTTTTGTTTTGTTTTGAGTTTTGTTCGTTAAATGCAATATAAAAGTGATAAAAGAACTTTGGTTTCACTTTGGAGAAATCATCATTATACGCTCGAACGTTTTGTGACAATACATCGGATGGAAGTGTATTTCCAATTCTGAACGACTGGTTATTGAATTCGGTAAAACAATTCTGAGGTGACGAACGCGATTCGTCAATTTTTCGTCAACAATTTTTTTCGTCCCAAAGTTACTCGTAGAAAATTAATTTTCACTTTCTGCAATTAGATTCATTCCTCATCGCGAAATAATTGCTCTGAATTTTACAATCGCGTCCGTCGCCCCAGAATTGTTTTACCGAATTCAATAACCAGTCGTTCAGAATTGGAAATTGACACAAGCTATTCTAAAACTTTTTAGAACATAGATAAAAGAGAAAACCGCGATATGAAAATTTTCTGTTCTTTGGTGTCAAAGGCCTTGTAAATGGTGAACAACACAAAGATCTCTCAAATTCAATTATGTCACATTAATTAATTAGTGGGTTACTGTGTGTGTGTGTGTGTGTGTGTGTGTGTGCGGCTGTGTGTGTGTGTGTGTGCGGCTGTGTGTGTGTGTGTGTGCGGCTGTGTGTGTGTGTGCGGCTGTGTGTGTGTGTGCGTGTGTTATTGCGGTGGCAGAACTTTCATGATTTTTATTATTATATTATTTCATCAATTGGAATTCCAATTTTATTTTCATCCCGAATTAAGGTTCAAAAGTTTCCTAAAGTAATGTCAAATCTGTGATTAAGGTTGTGTGAACAGCGAGAATCTTAGTTTTTTATCAATAGTCAGTATAGTCGTATGTCAATCTAGAACTATGATAAACATTTTCTAAACAATCATCACGTGTGTGTGTGTGTGTTTGAAGGTGTGAAGTTTATCACGTGATTTAAAAGATTTAAAGGCAAATGGTACATGTAATACATTGATTTCCAAATCACAGAATCATATTGAATTTAATAATTTTTAAATTTCGTGATTGTCAGAGTCATGCCAATACAATGACGAGTTGTCATTTGGAGTCGGCGTGCATTTTACCAAATTTCACGATTTCCCTAGATGCTGGTAGAGTGCGATTTTGTTGATGGTAATGTAAGAGATGGTGAACTGTCTTTGGTGTCAACCCGTGCGTAGATTTTGAAGGACGAGAGTTTGGACTTATCAGGGGAAGACATTGAAAGTATTTCAGTATTTCTAGATAGATAAAGATGAAGTCAGAAATGAGAAAGGTTGTGATTGGTTGAAGAAGCTTAGTTCACTGCCTAGAAACCAACAGAAAGATTTATTAGGAGAAATAAAAATAGCCGATTTTTTTGAAATTGAGATTTTTCATAGCGATGGTTTCAATTTATTTGGTGCATCTAAGAAAGGTTTCAAACTCTCTTACTTTGAGAAAAATTTTCAGAACTCATAGTGAAAAGCGATATAACAGGTTTTTTTTTAGGCACGTACGAAACTAAAGTTTGCCGTTGAGTGGAACCAAACAAAGATGACCCCACATCTCTCTTTTCTTTTTTTTGAAGATCAGGCGGTATTTTTTCGCACTGTTCCAGGGAGTGTAATTTGCTTTTTCAACAAATTTTCTTCTAATATTGTGTTCGTGAACCAGTTGACTGTTGTTATGTAGACTCCAGAGTTGAAGAATAGTTCTGCTACAGCATGTAAGACCAGTATGTCTTTTATTTTCTTCACGACCAACATAAGGCATCCCATTGAATGTGTAACCAGAAGTGCAATCACACAAGAGAAATAACATCATTCCATACTTGTCAGGCTTGCTTGGCATGTATTGCCTGAATTCGCGACGTTCTGTGCGTGTATCATGTTTGTCAAACCTAAGACATGACAAGATTTCTTCGAAGTGATTAATGCTGAATGCTGCCGGAAATATTGATCTTCCAGACATTTCTTGTGACTATAGACAAAAGATTCATAAACAAAACACACACAGACACACACATACATACACACACACACACACACACACATATATATATATATATACACACACACACAAACATACCACATACAAACATAAAAAACACATACAAACATAACACGCAGACATACACAATCAATAGAAACTAATCAATAGTTTTCATAATAAAATGAGGAATTTATGAAAGCATGCCTTTCCTGTGAAAGTACCCAAAGCATATATATATATATTATTATAAATTTTTTTTAATAATTTGGCTTTAAATTATAATAATACCAGAATAAAATATAAAAAAATATTATTAATGAAATATAATACATAATGAATAACAATACTGATATCCAGTATCTGCCTGGTCCAAAATTGTGCATTGGGAAGATAAAATTAAAATTTTTTTTTGATGATTACAGTTTTCCCGCATTGGTGGGTTGATAATTTTCAAGATTATTAAATTAAGGAACTTTTTTCTTTAACTTCCGTCTACTTTATTGCCATATTTGACATCGAATCTTCAATATTTCCATATTCCATTCTCTTATTTTCATTTCATGGATTTTGAATTAAAAAAAGCTTTGTTTTTAGCGCACACCGAAGATGCATTGAAATGTAGCTATGGGATAAGAAAAAAAAATCTTCAAACGTTCACAAAAAAACAGCATTACGAGACAATGAAACATCAAAATTTATATACAGAATATATATTAAAAATTGAACTTTAGAGAAAGATTCATGCCACGAATAATACCCGTCATGTAGGTAGCTATTGTTGAGTCGTGTCTAATGTAATTATGAATTATCAGTGTCAAAACTAAATATCTTTCAGGGTTCTCTTTTTTTGATCTTGCTTATTTAAATTTTTATGAAGAAATAAGTGTTTTTTAATGAAAATTTAACTAAATTTTACCATTTTAAGTTTTATTTTTGACATTTTACAGTAATTTTATTCACAGTTTCTAGTAGCCCCAACAGTAGCTAAACCATCCATCGGGGAGGGTTAAGCCCCAACATCCCCTTGTGGTTACGCCATTTCGTTGTTATTATTAACACATATAGGCACACATACACACACAAACACATATACACAAACATACATACACAAACATACATACATAAACAAACAAACATACATACACAAACATACAAACGTACACAAACATACAATCATGCACACCTCCAAACACATATACAAACAAACATACATACACACTCAGTCATACAAAACTTCGACTGAGATTGTTTTCTCAACACATCTTAGGACAGCATTAGCAGAAGTAACGAAACGTGTTCTCCGGTGCAGATAATGGGTCATAAAAAAAATAAAAATTATTATTATTTGTTGTTATTATTGTTATTAACATAGCAATTATTGTGGTTGTTTTAAGGTTTTGATAAGAAAACAATTTTGTTCTATGAAAGCGAAAGTAGTTTTTTTACTAGGTTGATTGTAAGTTGAAGATTTTTTTATTGGCATGTCTCAGATGTGATTTTGAATTTTTTTTCACTAAGTAATATAGATCTCTCCTTTTTCTCTTTTCCTCTCTTTTTCTCTTTCTTTCTCTTTCTTTTTCTCTCTCTCTCTCTCTCTCTCTCTATATATATATATATATATAATAGAAAAAATCTTTTGTATGAAAAATATTTTTGTTTTAAAATTACTTTGTAACAATAATTTTTGATTCTAAAACTGGGGAATATTTTAAATTTTACAGAGTAATTTTTTTTGTTTGCATTCAACAATTTTTCGCATTCAACAATTTTTACTTGCTTTCAAAGGAATACTTTTTCGTAATAATGGATGTTTTATATGTGAAAAACTCGTTTTTTTTCAGAATTTTTGTTTTAAATTTAATGTTTTGTATGAAAATAACATTTGTCTATAACGTTTTTACATTAATGTTTTAGCGATATAAATTTGTGTGGACCGTATCTAGTAAAAATGAAAAAAAAATGTTTTTATTTGTTTGTCATTTAGGGAAAGTTACTTAACGTGTGTTGTTTTTTTATTAAATTTTTATTATAGTAAAAAAACTTCTTCTCATCTTCTTCTTCTTCTTCTTCTTCCTCTTTTTCTTTTTTTTATTAATTATTATTAGTCGATATTCTTATTATCGTTGTTAATTTTAAACTATACAATATTTTAAACAGACAAAAATTTTCATACACCTACCCACAAGCATGGCCCCATATGTATGTAGAAGCACAAACGATTGTTACATAGACACATAAACACACACACACACACAAACAAACAAACACACGCACAAAAACACACACAGACACACACACACGTGAAAAAATCTATATTGCATAATTGAGGTTCATATCAGAATGATTAATTTTTCCAGCCACTACAAACATAGGTAGGACGGTAATGTGTTTCTGAGCTGTTGTTCAAATGGAGGCAACAAAAACAACAACAACTACTACTACTACTACTACAACTACTACTACTACCACAACTACTACTACTACTACAAAAACAACAACAACACTAATAATACTATAACAAATAATAATAATAATTTGATAAACTAGTGTGTGTGCGTGTGTGATGTTGTTTGTGATGGTGTTGAAATATTGTTGCGATGTTGCTAAGGGAGTAGTGTTCCCACTATTCAGAATTTTTGTTTTTTTTTGTGCACTGTCAGTGCGTTTTGTAGTATTATACGTATTTACTTGCGTCCTAATGTAGTCTAGCCATGCCAAAATGATTTTGTTTTTATAAAGTTAAAAAGTCTTATTGTGGATTTGATGTTTTTTTTAAGTCTAAAAACAAACCACAGATATGATTATTAGTGATAATAACAGTGCGAATGTGATAAGATGTGACGATTTCACTATTCAACCGAACATCAAGATTAAAAACAAAATGATTTTGTTTTTATAAAATTAAAAATTTGCCATGCCAAAACGATTTTGTTTTTATAAAATTAAAAAAACTTTTCAGTCTAGTGACCATCCAAAAACTCACTCTTTCATTCGACCACCACTTCAAATGACTTACCAACAAAAAACCTTTGGAGGTAAAAACATTTCAAAGCAAGTTTCGTAGTTTATTTCAACGCTTTCGTTCCGCTAAACCGCTTCATTTGCTGAACAGAATGGATGGATGGATGATGGATGAATGGATGGATGGATGGATGGATGGATAGATGGATGAAGGGATGGATAGATGGTTTGGTGGATGGATGG